TTATAATTGTGACTAAAATAAATACATATCATTTAGTTGAAAATGAGTCAAAAGTGCTCCTACATATCAAGATTTTGATTAAAATGTGACAAATTAAGGCTAAAAGAGTAAAAAAAATGCATAAAATTGAGTTTTAGAGGGATTGCTAATGATTTTTAAAATTTCACGGCCGCGACACCCGATTCCCGATACGTACCGGCCGATACTACCGATACCGAGACTCCGCGATCGATACCGTTACGTTACCCGATACCGCGATTTAGAACTATGGCTATTAGTGATGTTTTCTCCATCTTTCGAAAGCTGAATCTGCTTGGACATAAACCCCCATTCGTTCTCCATGCTCACTATCAAACCTTTTGGTGTAGAAGTGTTTCCACCGGTTATTTTACGGACTTGTTCCTCGATGTATTTGAACCTTGCCGCGTCCAAGACCATCTGAATGACCACAAGAACCGGTTCGGCTACGCTCCCACCGTACCACAACCTTGTGGTGGCGTTAGCTAGGGGACTTGGTCCCAGAGGGAGCTTGTCCCTCGCCGTTGACTGCTTCCCAAGGCTGTCATAGCTGCTGGTGTAGGTTAAGTTGGTTTTTTGGGTGCCGTTGAATAAATTGTTTAGTTCAAGTGTCGTAGCGCCTTTGAAAAAGTAGGATTTGTTATTTGCACCACTAAAAGCCACCACATACACCAAGGATCCTCTAGAGTGAAATTTTCTTAAAGTTTCCTAGAATGCTACATTGTGTGGTTGAGATTTACTGGCAAGTCACATCAGAAAAATTGATGTGACTTGTCAGTAAATCTCAACCACATAATGTAGCACTCTAGAAAACTTTAAAAAAAAATCACTCTAGAGGATCTTTGCTCCACCACATAAAGGTTCACCACATCTATTGCCAACGTGGCGGTGACGCCATTGATGAGATGGACCAGAAGAAACCGGTTCCCAACCGACACTTTACTTTCGGGGTTCAGCACTGGTAGACCATTGACTGTATCGGTTCCCCGTGACACGATTTCTTGCAGTGTCCCTATGAAGTCTCTGTATGTGGCCACGGTGGCACCCGCCACATTGAAGGAGATGGAGAAATAGGCCTGGACGTTGCCTTGGATTCCAAGGCTGAAAATTGCGAGAACAAAAATATTGCTGCTACCAGTCTCATCGACTTGAGGAGCACGAGGCCAACCCTTCATGTCAATCATTGCCACGTTAAGGCCATTGTTCACGTGGCCTCATTGGTCACATGCTGTTGTTACAATACAAAATTATTTTAAAATATAGTTATTAAATTCAGGTGTTAATGAAAACAAACGTATAGCAATCATACTTAATGATAGAGTGAAAGGATTTTAAATCTTGTGGATAAATTCATATATAATGAAATTATGTGATCTGAATATTTATTATCATAGATTTTATTAGTTATTAATCACACTTAAAAGATGTGATCTAAATGTTATTAATCGCACTTAAAAGATGTGATCTAAATGTTATTATCACTCTCAAAACATGTGATGGAATCATTTTTTAATGACACTTAAAGGTGTGATTAAAAATGACCATTTTTAATTACACTCCCAAAATCACACTTTAATAAGACTTAAAAGATATGATTAAATAATATACATTACACAAAAAAAAGTATAATCTATTTATGATTTTGTAATAGTGATTCTACAAACTCTTCAAGGTATTGACATGTTTATTTGATTCTTTCATTTTATTCTTCTTGAAATTATTGTCTCACTATTTGCTAATTCGATTCATTGTTTGGAAAGTTTTTTTTTTGGTTCCCTTTCTACAAAGTCAAACTCTTTTCAAAAAAATTCAATTCAATTCAATTCACTGTTGTGTCATTTATTCAATTCACTCACCGTTTGCTAATTCATTTCATTGTTTCGACATTTTTTTCCCCTTTCTACAAGATGAAACTATTCACACACTGTTTCAATTATTTTTTTCCTCTTCAATTCACTGTTTCAACTGTCGTTTCTTTTTTTTTGGGACGGGGGGTTTGGGTCTTTAAAAATGTGAATTATTGATTTTTTTTCCATTTTTATAAACTGAAACTTTTATTTCTTTAATTCACAGTTTTTTTTTTCAGGTCTTTAAAAATATGGATTATTTGATTTTTTTTCCTTTATATAAACTGAAATTTTTGTTTTTTCAATTCACTGTTTGCTTCTTCTTCTTCCTTTTAGGGTTTTTTTTTTTTTTTTGGGTCTTTAAAAATGTGGATTATTTGATTTGTTTTTTCTTTTGGGCAAATTACATTGATAGTTCTTATATTTTAGTTTTTGTGTCATTTTAGTCCTTATAATTTCAATTGACTCGATTTTGATCTTGAATTTATGATTTTATCTCAATTCAACCCAATTGCTTATAATTGTTAGTATTTTTTAATGAAAAATATGCATATAAGTGACATATGACACTCTTTTAGAGGCAAAAGTATAGACTTGCTCAACTTGGTGAGTTAATTTCAACCAATTTAGTGATCATCTTTCATCAAAAACACTAAAGACGTTATCAATTAAGCCAAATTAATACAAAATCTAATATTGAAGATCAAAATTGATCTAATTAAAAGTGTAACCAAAATGACATAAGAAACAAAATATTAAAACTACCAAATATAATTTTCCCTTTACTTTCTTCAATTCACTATTTCTTTTATTTATTTATTTTGAGTCTATAAAAATGGGGATTATTTGATTTTTTTTTTTTTTTTCCTTTTCATAAACTGAAACTTTTGTTTGTTTCTTTTGTTTCCCACTCCTATTTTTCCTTTAAATTGTTTTTGTTTATTTTTTACACATGCCAATTTCTCACTATGAAGATTCATAAAATACCTTTCGGTGACAACATGATTAAGATCAAGTCACTATTTATTTCTTATTATATGTAGTATAATATTTTCACAGATCTATGTCAAAAATTATATCAAAACAATTTTAATAGATTATTGAAGCTCACATATGATTTTGGACCACGTGACTCCATGTCAAAATGTAATTTTTTAATTTTTAATTTTCGTCTTAAAAAAAAAAAACTATGATATTAACATTCATTGTCTTTATAAATAACACAATTAATCAATTACATAAACAAAAAACTAAAGTTAGTCTCTTTATAATTTTTTTCTCATTTGATAAATCTTTATTTTAATCTTTACGCAATAAATCAAATAATACTAAATCAGTTTGTATCTTATATATTTTCTTGTAGGATTTTTTTTTTTTGGATCGACAAAGAAAATCTTTTTTGATGAAAACATACAAGGTATGATAGATTACATTAATAAAGAGGAGTTTGGAGCTATCACAAAACTCCAAACGCCAGTTGGTGAGAAACCAACAAAAAGAAATTAAAAGAAGCAGCCACAACATTAAACATAAATGAAAAAAAAGCACAAAAAAACCAGAGAGTAGACAACATCAAACAGTATAACAACACACATAGACAACTTTAACTGTAACAAGTTGAATCAAATTGAATTTATACTTTAATCTCAATTGGGGATCTATATTAAATTATTAAACTCCATTCATTTCGGACCCAATTGATTAAATTGTGACCCGTTAGTAACCATGTAGTAGTGTTGTGCTTTTATTATTATTATTTGATTACCATAAAAGAGTTGTAAATATTTATGGTGTGTACCATTAAACGAAATATATTTTGTAGTGAGAAAATATTATATTTACTTTTGTCATTAAAAATGTTGAAATATAATTTTAAATTGATATATATATATATAGGTGTATATATATATGGTTAGATATTTGTTTATAATATATATATATATATATATAAAAGTGACCAAATAGGATATTTTGTTCAACTTTTGGGAGTTCTTGGAGCTCTTGCCATGGGAAAGAAGAGAAAAGGGATTCCAAATTAGTTTCTTTTGGGTTTGATCTAGTGTAAGTCATTTTTGACCCCTAGTGCTTTGGATCAAAACGTAGAGGGCGGAAAATGCGTCGTTTGGCTCCAAAAAAATTTAATTTTTGTTGCCGAAAAATTTAAAACCTTCTTGGCTTGAGGTAAGGATTTTTTCTACACTTCTTTATGTACTTTTACTTGATTATATGGAGCTTAGAGTTGTATATAATTAAATTAGAATTTTTAAAATGTTTGTGATTTATTTGCTTAAAAAGGAAATTTTGAGAAAAATAAAGAATTGATGCCTAAATTGCGAAAGTGTAAACTTGGAATATGTTTGTAAGGTTATGAAAGAGCTATGTTTTAAATTTGAACAAAAACGGACTTCGACTCGATCGGTTTTGAAATTTTTACCTGTTTACGACCAAAAGAGCATTTTTAAAGAAAATAAAGGAATTATGTTTAACTTTTGGGGCTTTTGATCAAAATCGGATGCCATAGTTGAATAATTCTTGGAGAATGAGTTTTGAAAGAAAATGATGTTTTCTTGGGCATTAACGGTATTATTTTGGTTAATGTATCTGTTGGAATAAAACCGACACGGTTAGAAATGGACCTTGAGAGGTTACCGGATGTGATTGTGATATGAAAACTAGTGTAATTGTTCATATTTGATGAGATGTGGAATAGATTGTATTTATTGAAATTTTTAGAATTTAATTGTTTAAATATCTATTTAGACATATTTGTTTTGCGCTATCCGTGGAGGATAGCCATGATTGTTGTAGGAATGCATGAGACTTAGGTAAATTGAACCACATTCCTCATTTGTTGCATTGGATGTTGCATTACATTCATTTCATTGGAAATGTATTTGTTTTTGAGAAATGTTTGGAAATGTATCTGTTTGCGAAGAAATGAATACTTGGTGAATCTAGGTAGGGAGTGTAGAACTGAGCAGTTAGGTATCGAGCTTCCAGTTTACTAGTAAAAATAACAGTGGTAGTGCACTAGGGCCTACTATCAAACACCCACCTAGAGATTCACAAAGCCTGTATTCATGTAACAGATACAGTTTAAAATGGAAATGGTTTTATATTTGTCGTTGCATCTCAGCATTGCATGCTTTATAAAAAGAGAGATAAACTGTTTTATCATGAGCATGGCATGAGCATACTCCTCTTTAGTCTTGTCATGGTCCATATGTTGTTTAGGATATCTCTACTGGCTTTGGCTCACCCTATAAGGAAAACCATTTCAGGTACAGGTGATATATCTCTGCGAAGGCACTGACTTGGAAAAACTCGGAACTGAGGCTTCGTTTTTGTTTTGTTTTTATTTGTTGAATGTAAGCCCAGGGCTGTATTTGCGTTGAGTTGAAACTCCATTTTGTGTAACCAATAATGTTTTTGGATAAATTTGTAAGCCTGTAGGGCACTTATTATCTGTTTGGCTTCCATTTCATACTTGTTGTAAAATGCATGCTTGGGATTGGAAGTGGGGCATTGAGATGTGAATAGCATGTATTTGGCATTTGGAATTTAATGGAAATTGATGTATAGAATAGTTAGCTATATATATATTTTTGTCTATCAAGTGGGTTTTGTTGCATAAATAGATATACCCTACCTAATTTTTGAGGCGTTACAACTTGGTATCAAAGCGTACCGGGTTCGATTACTTTTGGTACGTGGGAAGTGGTTAGTACCACAGTGGGTTTATCTCACTTGATAGAGATATTTGTATGATGAGGTGCTATGTGATAACATGCTTATGTGATTATATGGGTATGGGGTTTGATTTCTAAGATATTGATTGGGTCTGTGAGTTCCTGGAAGTCCAGTCAGAAGAGCACTTGATCACTGTTATTTCTGATTGGAACTCTAGCAACGTCATGGGACAATCATTATCTAGAAAGAAAATCTATATATTCTTATGTAACTATGTGCTTATATGGAATGAGTTAACTGTTGTCCATTGCCTTAGGACGTGAGTGAGTTAGCTTCGGCACAATTGTGCCTGTGCCAATCTCGAGTGTTATCTTTATTAGGATGTCAGGACGTGGAAAGGGCAGTGGTAGGCATGACAGGCCCATGAGGCACGAGATGCCAATACCGAATAAGATTTCGACGCAAGAGAAAGGGACAGGGCAGGCAAATGTGGTTGAACCAGCTAGGCAACAGGCCATGGGTGCTTTGGCATGAGAGATAGTAGGGGCACTGAACATACTGAGGGCTGAGAACCTAGCACAGGCCCCAGCTGTCCCAGTTGCAGAGACAGGACCACTCCTGCTAAAAAGGGAGTTCTTCCGGACCAA